CTCATATATGTTTATTAGGTCTGTTAACAAAGCATGTGGTAGATCATCTTACCAAATAGAAAGGAATCCAAGCTTTTATTAGGCATGTACTCGTATACAAGGATTTTCTCTTTCTTCTCAATGCAACACCCTATAAGCCTGACAAGATTAGTGTGTTGAAGTTTGGCAATGAGTTCAGTTTCATTCTTAAACTCCTTGACTCCTTGTTCAGAGCTTCTTGAAAGTCGTTTTACAGCAACCTCTTGCCCATCAACTAATTTTCCCTGTGAAATTAATCCATCACCTGATCAGCTTTTATATATCTGGAATCTTCTTAATAAAATATTATAGAGTGTGTTTGAAAGTTTACCTTATAAACTGCTCCAAAACCCCCCTCCCCTAACTTATTAGCGCTTGAGAAATTGTTCGTGGCAGATGAGATGCTTTGAAATGTGAAGTGATGCAGCTCAGCATTCACCTTGTTATCTGCTCGTATGTAATTGTAGAAGTGCCTCAGACGATGCAGCAACAGCTTTAGGATTTTCTTCACTTCCAAAAAAACAACCAACATCACATATTTAACAGCTTTCCCTAATTTGTTAACAAAGAAAGAGTGTTAGATACATCGATAGATTGTGTGCAAAGTAAAAAAAAAAAAAAAAAAACCTTGACGTAATTACCGTTAATATTTAGCTTCTTGTATAAGAAGTAGCATGATAGGAGTGAAACTAAAGATGCAATCGTGATGATCGACCAAATCCGGACCCACTTCTTCTCCTTTTCTGCAAATGAAGAAAATTTGTTCTCTATTAATGTCGACACATTTTTGTTGTTATTATCTTGTCGAGATCATTGTCAACAAATGCAAGAATATTAATTTTTATTTAGAACAAATAATCAAAGTACTGGTCCGTTACATATTGTTTGACAGGATGATTTTTGCCCGATCCTAACAAAAACATTGAAAGAAAATAAATTTGTCGGAAATCAAAAGAAATATTGCATAGAAGGTTAGCTCAATATAAGAGATACCTGGCTTAATTATCATATCAAGTGTACAATTAATTTTCTTATTGGCAATAACTTGCAACATATATGGCACTAACACATATGGAAGTTTACTGTGAAATCAGTTTCTACAACTTCTCTGTGGCTCATTTTTTTTTTCTTCACAAGCATTAAATTGAAACTTACTAACCTTCAGGATAAGGTCTACGCGTACGGACGATGCCATAATATTCTCTGTACGACTCATCTTTAGCTTTCCCTGTCCTTGGGCCATAGGTCTTGCAGGTGGCCCTGTTTGTGGTTGCATAAGTATAGGTATAAGCCATGCAAGAACAATTGGTCCAGCATAGTCTTTCGCAATCATATGAAGTCAAGTTATAGCTTTCATCATATACATACTCATTCCCCATATATATTGTAAAGCCCCTTATAAAAATGGTAGTCTTTCCTGCAGTCTAACTCTGGAAACTCATATTCAGCACAACCAGAATCATTGTCCCAGCTGATTGAGCGGCATTGGACATTTAACTTCAGAGTTGAAGCATTAAGCTCGCCATTTAAATTCATCGTCAGAGCTGGCGATGAATCATAGGTTCTAGTTAAATATGTGAAGGATTGCTCAGTTTCATTAGAAATATAGTAAAGGCGAACATCGGGACCCGAATTCTGTAGATCTGCGTTCTCGAATCCACCATTGATCAGCCATGATCCACTCCTCCAGTGGACATTCCCTCGCCTTAGGATCACCATTTCCATTTGACCTGATGTGGCATTTGGGTCTGCTGTTAATGTAAAAGACCCTTCGGCTGGTAACATTTCACTCCTCCAAGAAGTGAGTGACCATCGATGCCTGGTCTTGAGGTTGATTCCTAACTTCATCCCAGGAAGAAGGGTGTCTGTTGGGTAGTCAAAGCTTTGCCATAAAACCCGCTTAACTGACCCATCTGGATGGAGTTCTTGCAGGACGAAATTTCCAGTATCCAACAGGGTGGCACTTGCGTTGCGTGTTACTACTGGAGTTGGACTGAAGAGATCAACCACAGTGCCTCCGCCAGATGAGATGCTCAGCTTGCCATGGATATCTATCACGAGCTTTACGTATATATCTTTACTCGGTCTGTTTCTGTTTGCTACCCACACTGCCTTATCTCCTTTGTACCCATCTCTATTATAATATGCGTACCCATCTCCATTATAATATGCTCTTCTTCCATAACCATAACTTTTGCTTCTTTCGGGGTTGTAGAATATCCCTAAATAAGGGCTTATGGTAGTTACAAAGCCAAAGAAATTCAAAACAAAGACTTTATTTGACGAAATCAAATAGTCCCAGTCCTTGAGCTCTTCACCTTGCAGTAAGGTATCTGTTTCTGAGTAACAAGGATTGCTGAAAAGACAGCAAAACAATGTGAGGATGAGGAAGATGCTTCTGTCTACCATTTTTTTTTCAAGGAAGAAGTTGAATGACAAGTGTGGTCTTGTTGAACAAAAAAGCTATTGCATCAATGTGATTTTTATCATCGTTACTCTTATGACACTTTTTTTTTTGACCTTGCCTTCCACAACTCCTGTTTTACGATACACTTGGTCAACTGATATAGACAGCCCTTTAATTAATTAATATCTTGACGTGATAAGAGCCTTCATTAGGCCTTAGTCATATGGACCAGGAGTTGCATATTATTTTAAAGAAGGCACTTTTCTTGACTTAACCTTCCATGACTCCTGTGCTTTCCATCTGTATTTCATCCAACGGTTGTAAAAGCCTAAAAAAATGCTAAGTTTTCCCTCCAGGGGTGTCACCACTAATACCTTCTTGTCGCCGCTAATAACTAGGTGTTGCCGTTAACACCCGTCGTCGCTATTACCTCTTTATAGATAACCCCCCATCTTCGTTCTTTCATGTATTGTCTACCTCTTCTCTCACAATCCTCCGGCCTGCTCCGTGCCGATTCCGACCAACGACAGCCGGTTGCTGCCACAACACTTGCCGCCAACCAAACCTCCATTACCGGCGACAAGACCTTCATTACCGGCGTCTGGCGACCAAAAGGGCGACATAGCTAAATTTCGGAAAAATTGACAATCTAAGGTCGAATTCATTCCCTAATTTTTATTCTTCTTCTGCTTTTGATGTTAGTTTTAGTATTGAAACCTTTTGTATCATTGATTTACATGTTTTCTAAGATTTTGTTTGGTTGAGTGATTTTATATGAATTTTGAGGTATGAAAGTGTTTATGCATTTTGAGTGATTATATATGTTTTCTCATATTTATGCAACCTATTGTATAATTGATTTGTGTTTATGCTCACTGTGGTGTATTGGCATGAAAATGGTATTAGACATGGTTTGTTTGATTTTTTATTTAGATGTATACATTTGTATGAAATTGAAATTGGATGTCTAAAATGGTAGGTGCTATAAGATATGATCGTATGAAATTGGATGTATTGCTTAATTGTTTGAAATTGGAATTTGAATCGGATATATTGGATGCTTAATTGTATGAAATTGTAATATGAAATTTGTATTGTATGTCTAAACTGAAATGAAAATTGGAATTGAATGTATTGTATACATGTATGATTATGTGATATTTAGGATTAATAGTTTGGTGTATATAAGATGAAAGGATAAAGTACTTAATTGATAAGTTATAGTTTTTTTTTTATTTAGATGCTATTGTTTGTATTGTAAAGTGCTTAATTAATAAGTTAAAGTGTTTGTATTTACATGTATGATTTTATTAGATGTTTATTATGTCTTTATTTTCTTGTTAATATGGTATCAAAGTGCTTAATTTTGTTAGTAACTTAATGTTGGTCATTATAACTTTAGCTTAATTAAGTTATTACTAGCAACGTACTTTTAGTAATTTTAAATTAATTATATGATAATGTTAAATTAATTTTAAAAAATCAATAAAAAAATAATAAATTAATTGTAAAATCAAATTAAATTAGTATTAAAATTAAGTTAATATTATATATATATATATATATATATATATATATATATATATATATATATATATATATATATATATATATATATATAGGTAAAAGTGAATATACCCTTAAAGGTATATAACATTAGGTACCCATTTATTTAAAACTATGTAGTTTCGATTATGGGATTGATTTTCTGAAAAAAAAAAAAAAAAATACAATTTCCATAATAACTTGTTTTGTTTCCTAATTAGACTAGAGTACTGATAAGGTCAACTTACGTCGTCCTCCTTGATCGCTGACTACTTATCACAACGATTTCAATTTAAAGAAAAAAAGCGATTTCAATTCAAAGTAAAAAACGATTTCAGTGAAATCGATTTCGAAAAAAAAATGACACAATCTATTGATTTTAAAATTCACCAATAACGATTTCATTCAAATTAGAATTCAATTTAGGGAGTCATTGATTTCATTCAAATTGGAGTTCAATTCAGGGATTCTTTCAAATTGGGTTTGATCAGACCTTCAAAAACTACAAATCCCAGTGTCCACTGTTCTTTCTTTCCAAAGCACTTCCAAGTAAGTCATTAATCTCGTGTTTTATGACCTATGTTATGTGTATCTGATTAGTAAGTATCAGCAGTATTACTTTCCCAATGTATTTAACTTTTGCAGTTCTTTATTCTCGATTCTCATTTGTGTTTAAAATTGAAATTTGTCTGCCACTATGTGTTTTAAACGAAAGTATGATGCTACAAAACTACAAATTCCCTGTGTTTTGGTTAACAGTACTTCCAATTAGTTTTTCTAAAACTGAGATTGATATGATTATTAAAGTTTTTCAGAATTTAATATTCAATATTATTGTTTACAGTGTTCTTTATTACCTGGTGAATCTTTATTTATTCATAGATTTTAAAAGTGACATTGTTGTTTTTAGACATTGCCATTGGTTGTAATTGTGTTTTTTATGTATAATGTTTCCTTTATATTCAATATAAAACAATTTTTTGTTAATCTTTTATTTGGAAATATGCATCGTTGTCTATTACAGGTCATAATGAGTGAAGCCGAAGCAAGTAATCAAGCTATAAAACCATATATAACCGAAGATATTGAGACAAATGATTATGTGGAAGCAACATATCAATGTGAAAATACAAACAATATCGGCGTGGACATTAAATTTGATGAAGATGATGTTAATGATGTTAATAAAGAAAGGATATTGGGAAAGGTTTTTGATACACCCGATGATGCCCATACATTTTATAATGATTATTCATTTATGCATGGATTTGGTATACGTAGAGATGACACAATTAAAAATCCTAAAACAAATGAGCCTTTTCGGAAGATATATGTATGCAACAAAGAAGGCTTCAAAAGGATGGACAAAGATGCTTCAAGTGAAAATGAGAGAAAACGTCATAAATATGTTAGAACCGGATGTCAAGCAAAGCTTCGAATAACAAGACAAGAGGATGGGAAATGGTTGGTGGACTTGTTTAATGAAACACAATCACGACTTGACCATGACACCTACAAAGGTGATAAAGCATCGATCTCATAGCAATTTCCACCGTTCAATAGAAGGTAAATCTCTTATGGTGCAATTTGGTCAAGCAGGGTTGAAACCTTCTCAGATTAAAAAGGTTGTTAATACAATGCAAACCTCAAATATATCTGATGTAACTTCAAAGCAATGTGTCGATGTTTTAACTGAGCATCGAAAACAACATAGAGGAAATGAGTTCTATGGACTTATAAAACATTTTCAAGATAAAACATTAGTGGATAGTGACCAGTATTTTATCGTGGATTTGTCTGATGATGGGTATCCTAGAAATATCTTTTGCGCTGATGGTAGATCAAGAGATGCCTATACAAAATTCAGAGATGTTGTGTTTGATGTCACTTATATGACTAACAAAAAATCAAGATGCCTTTTGCTCCCTTTACTGGGGTGAATCATCATGGACAGTCTATGCTTTTTGGTGGAGCATTGCTTGAAAACGAAAAGGAAGAGACATTTGAATGGTTATTTTAACATTTCCTCAAATGTATGTTTGGCAAGTATCCGAAGGCAATTATGACTGATCAAGACAAAGCTATGTGCAATGTAATAAAAAAAGTGTTTCAAAATACTCGACATCGCTTTTGTTCATGGCATATCAGGAAGCATGAAACTGAGCACCTTCGATCGAATGTTTCCCGTTACATTGATTTTCAAGATATGCACTGACAATGGGTAAATAGTGACACCATTGAACAATTTGAAGCAACATGGGAAGATATGCATATTAAGTATGAACTTGAAAGCAATTGTTAGCTTAGTGACATGTATAACCAACGTATGCACTGGGCTAAACCCTTCTTGAAAGATATTTTCTTTGCTGGTATGACCACAACTGGATGAAGTGAGAGTATCAATTCATTTTTTTGATGGATTTGTTAACTCATGGACCATGTTGAACGAACTTGCTGTACAATACGACAAAGCAGTTTAGTCACGAAGGGCTGTCGAAGAAGATGAAGACTTCAAGACTATGAACTCGAGACCGGTTCTTTCTTTAGGGAATCCAAGCGAAGCAAAACCAGGCCAATTTTATACTAGAAAGATGTTTGATACTTTCAAAAAATAATGGACCGAAGCTATAAGCCTGACAAGATTAGTGTGTTGAAGTTTGGCAATGAGTTCAGTTTCATTCTTAAACTCCTTGTTCAGAGCTTCTTGAAAGTCGTTTTACAGCAACCTCTTGCCCATCAACTAATTTTCCCTGTGAAATTAATCCATCACCTGATCAGCTTTTATATATCTGGAATCTTCTTAATAAAATATTATAGAGTGTGTTTGAAAGTTTACCTTATAAACTGCTCCAAAACCCCCCTCCCCTAACTTATTAGCGCTTGCGAAATTGTTTGTGGTAGATGAGATGCTTTGAAATGTGAAGTAATGCAGCTCAGCGTTCACCTTGTTATCTGCTCGTATGTAATTGTAGAAGTGCCTCAGACGATGCAACAACAGCTTTAGGATTTTCTTCACTTCCAAAAAAACACCCAACATGACATATTTAACAGCTTTCCCTAATTTGTTAACAATGAAAGAGTGTTAGATACATCGATAGATTGTGTGCAAAGTAAAAAAAACTTGACGTAATAACGGTTAATATTTAGCTTCTTGTATAAGAAGTAGCATGATAGGAATGATACTAAAGATGCAATCGTGATGATCGACCAAATCCGGACCCACTTCTTCTCCTTTTCTGCAAACGAAGAAAATTTGTTCTCTTTTAATGTCGACACATTTTTGTTGTTATTATCTTTTCGAGATCATTGTCAACAAATGCAAGAATATTAATTTGTATTTAGAACAAATAATCGAAGTACTCGTCAGTTACATTTTGTTTGATAGGATGATTTTTGCCAGATCCTAAAAAAAACATTGAAAGAAAATAAATTTGTCGGAAATCAAAAGAAATATTGCATAGAAGGTTAGCTCAATATAAGAGATATCTGGCTTAATTATCAAATCAAGTGTACAATTAATTTTCTTATTGTAGAGACAACAATTACTTGCAACATATATAGCACTAACACATATGGAAGTTTACTGTGAAATCAATTTCTACAACTTCTCTATGGCTCATTTTTTTTCTTCACAAGAATTAAATTGAAACTTACTAACCTTCAGGATAAGGTCTACGGTACACGATGCCATAATATTCTCTGTACGACTCATCTTTAGCTTTCCCTGTCCTTGGGCCATAGGTCTTGCAGGTGGCCCTGTTTTTGGTTGCATAAGTATAGGCCATGCAAGAACAATTGGTCCAACATAGTCTTTTGCAATCATATGAAGTCAAGTTATAGCTTTCATCATATACATACTCATTCCCATATATATTGTAAAACCCCTTATAAAAATGGTAGTCTTTCCTGCAGTCTAACTCTGGAAACTCATATTAAGCATAACCAGAATCATTGTCCCAGCTGATTGAGCGACATTGGACATTTAACTTCAGAGTTGAAGCATTAAGCTGGCCATTTAAATTCATCGTCATAGTTGGCCATGATACATAGGTTCTAGTTAAATATGTGAAGGATTGCTCAGTCTCATTAAAAATGTAGTAAAAGCGAACATCGGAACTCGAATTCTGTAGATCTGTGTTCTCAGATCCACCATTGATCAGCCATGATCCACTCCTCCAGTGGATGTTCCCTCGCCTCAGGATGACCATTTGACCTTTCCATTCACTAATAGAAAACTAAGTAATTACCTACAGCAGAATTGGTAGTAAATCTGTTGGAACAAGGCGTTACCTACAAATTTCCTGCAAAAAAAGGCGTTACCTACAGAATTGGAAGTAAATCTGTAGGAAAACTAAGTAATTACCTACAGCAGAAGGGTCATAACTGTCATATCAAATACATGTTAAACTTCCAGCTAGGTCATAGTTAACACCTCAGTGGGCATATAAGCACACGGTCCTCATCCCAAAGACTTGTTAGACTTCCAGTTATCATCAACTTATATTCAACACCTTAGTGGACTTATAGGCACATGTTCTCATCTCAATCTGACTTGTTAGACTTTCAGCTATCATCTTAGTGGGCCTAAAGGCTTTAAACTAACTTTCCTTAGTATCAACACATAACATGCAAACAGACGAACCAAGCTAAATAGAAAGTCGTACCCTAACAATACCAATCCAACCTACCATACTGTACATGAAATGACACACACAATATAGTGAGAAAACTCATATGCACCTAACCACCAAACTTAACAACAACCTCTGTAACGAAACATCTAGCACAATCCACTTAAACCCAATCAGATGCCAATACTTAGTTAAATACTCTAATCCATCAAAGTTAGAACAAAAGTTAAACTTGTCAAAAAAATTCAACAGTTAAAGTCATTGAAAGGTGCGTCGTGACCAAGACTAGGCGCTTCGCATCTCATAATATGACAAAACAATCGAGACAGGCCTTAGGAAGCACACCACGACCCATAAAGTTGTGCCACACCCAACAATCTTAACAATCTTATTGTTAAGCTCTAAATCCATCTAACTATACGCTCCGATTTTCTATAAATCGTCCAATGACGTTCTTAATGGATAAAGTTTCCAGCTTAACACTAACCCTAGATCCAAATCAAGATCAAAAGTGACTATATCCTTTATCATGGTCCAAAGAGATTTCAAGCTTACTCTCTTCTCACTCTATTAAGTCCGGAAACAACCAAACAACAACTCAAAAGTTGTTTTAACATCCAAGGAAATATGAAAGTAATGACAGGAAATGGAATCAAGAAGAAAGAGTTTAAAATTGAGGAAAACACATCGCGTCTCCAATTAGGTGCTCTACGCCCTCTCGTGGTTTTCTTAATTTTAAATTCTTTCTTCTTGATTCCAATTCCTATCATTACTTTCATATTTCTTTGGACTTTAAAACAACTAATTAGAAAGAAAACACAATCTGAAATTGGATGTTACAACACATATAATCATCGTTGTTATTAGAGCATCTTAAAAGTTAGTGTTTTTCTAAAGCTGTGTACTAGTCCAACAAGTTTTTGAATAACTTTTTACCATTGGAAAACAATGTTTTTTTTAAGAGGTGAATCCAAACACTTTTAATTCTTTAATCTTTTACTTTTTATGCATTGTCATATTTAATCCCTACATTTAATAACATTTTTCTCATATTTAATTGTTATATATTTTTTATTAGTCAATCAATTGATTTAATAAACAAAATTAAATATATTTTTAAAAAATTATATAATCTAAAAGTAATTATCAAAACTTTCAAAATTAAAAAATGTCAAAAATTTTAAAACATTGTTGTTGCATAATATTTTAATGTTTTTGTATATATATATATATATATATATATATATATATATATATATATATATATATATATATATATATATATATATATATATATATATATATATATATAACTATTTTATTATCTTTTATAGTTTTGGGAAAACAATATCCGAGAAAGTTATAACATATATTTGTAAAATTTATAAATTATATAAAGGGCGTAATAAACCATTTTAGATAGATAAATGATACCTTAGTTAATTTTAAATAAACTTTTTTTTTTGAAAAAAATTAACTATTATGATATTTAGTAAAACAATTGTTAGATATTTGTTAGATAAAAATAAGTAAAAGATAATGTTTATAATATGAGACTAGACGTTCTAGATTTAAAAGTATATATACCTATGCTTTATACCACTATTGTTATTATTTTTATTGAAAAATAGAATTGGTGCTAAATGTGTAACACCCCGACTCTCAGGTATAAGTTTTAAAATATTATGTACATGTTTATGGACCTACTCGACGAGTTGGTTTCCCTAACTTGTTGTGTAGAGGCGGAATAGCCCGCGTGGATTATTAGACCTACTCGACGAGTCGGAGGACCCAGACTCAACGAGTAGGAACGAGAACAAATTGATATAATTTTTGTTGGTTTAGGTGTCCTAGCCCATAACTATAATTGGTATGTACTTGACCCGATAGTAGTATGGTCCATTTTGAATTG